ATATCTTGTTCAGAAATAGATTTTGAAGCTTCATGGATTGAAATACAGACTGACTCCCATCGGAACATGCTATGTGGAGTGTTATATAGACACCCCAATGGCAATTTAGGAAATTTTATGTCATACCTTAATTCAACAATTGAAAAAATTCATCAAGAAAGTAAATATTGTGTAATTATGGGAGATTTCAATTTAGATCTTTTAAGGTTTGAAATTCACCCAGCTACAGACGATTTTCTTGACACATTAGGTTCTTATTTCTTCCAACCTCAAATACTTCAGCCGACTAGAATTACTGATCATTCAGCCACATTAATAGACAATATATTTTTCAATTCTGTTGAACATTTTCTTATTGGTGGCAATATAGTATATGACCTTACTGATCATTTGCCAAATTTTTTGATAATTAATAGATACTCTTTATTACCTAATAATGTTAAGATCTATAAGCGAGATTTTAGTAAGCTTGATGGGGCAGCATTAGTTAATGATATTCAAACCATAGATTGGGACAATGCATTATCCTGTTGTTCTGACGCTAGTTCTATGTTTGATACTTTTTATGAAACTATATCACAAAAAGTTGATAAATACATTCCTATCAAAGTGATGTCTAAGAAGGAATTAAAAATCCAGTCTAAGCCATGGATTACGTCTGCCATTAGAACATCCATCAACACAAAAAATAAATTCTATAAAAAATTTCTAAAAACTAAATCTGTTCATTATCACTCTAAATTTAAATATTACAGAAATAAAATAAACCATCTTATTAGATTATCTAAACAACAATACTATAATAAATACTTTGCCTCTAATATTAATAATAGCAAGAGAGTATGGAAAGGCATAAAAAAAATTATACATAGTAATCCCAAATCATATCAACAACCTACAAAAGTTCTTGAGAATAACTGTGAAATCACGGATACAAATTTAATTGCAAATGCCTTTAATAGATACTTTACTAACATTGGCAATCAATTATCGAATAAGATACCGGAAGCACAAAAATCACCACTAGATTATCTAACAACTCCTCAACGTGATAGTTTCTTTATACATCCTATAACATCGTTGGAGATAGAAAATGAAATAATGTCTTTAAGGACAAATAAGTCTACTGGTCCTTTTAGCATACCAATTTCAGTATTAAAATTACTTAAAAGTGTTATAACAACACCCCTGGAAACAGTTTTTAATGAGTCCATCTTAACAGGAATTGTTCCTGAGAGATTTAAGCTGGCAAAAGTAATACCTGTATTCAAGAAAGGTCTGTCTACTAATTTAAATAATTATCGACCTATTTCTCTTCTGTCGGTTTTTAATAAACTTCTAGAAAAACTAATGTTTAATAGATTAATAGTCTTTCTTAACAAAAATAATATTCTTTACAACAAGCAGTTTGGATTTCGTACAGGATATTCGACTGATTCTGCGATTTTGTGTATTGTTGATAAAATTCAAAAAGCAATTGAAGAGTGCCAATTTTCATGTGGTGTATTTTTGGATTTTAGTAAGGCATTCGATACAGTTAATCATGAAATTCTGATTATGAAACTTGAGCATTATGGAATTAGAGGGATAGCAAAAGATTGGCTTGCTTCCTATCTTAGTAATCGAAAACAATTTGTCTTTTTGAATAATGTATCATCAGATCAACTAACACTATCTTGTGGTATCCCCCAAGGATCGGTACTGGGACCATTGCTGTTCCTGTTATATGTAAATGACTTCAATTGTTGCTCAAAACTTTTAGATTTTCATTTATTTGCAGACGATTCAAATCTTTTCTATAAACACAAAAACTTGCTTACATTACAAAATGACTTGAATAATGAGCTAAATAATGTACACATATGGTTGTGCTCAAATCGCATTTCTCTGAATATTGAAAAGTCAAATTTCGTTATTTTCCATCCTCCACAAAAGAAAATATCCTCAAATTTCAAATTATATTTGAATGGAAAAGAACTAAAACAAGAACTTTGTATTAAATATTTGGGAATCTACATAGATTCTAATCTTAACTGGAAAAGTCAAACAATTTACATTGCAAAGAAAATTAAAAGAAGTATTGGGATCCTTTCCAAATTACGCTACCATGTTTGTGAGCAAATTCTTGTAAATCTTTATTATGCATTGATTTACCCGTTCTTGATTTATGGAATAACTATTTGGGGTAATACATACCCCTCTACTCTACAACACTTGTATATCTTACAAAAAAGAGCTATACGAATAATTACATTTGCAAAATACGATGAACACTCAAGTCCCTTATTTAAAAGATTGAATATCATGAAATTGCCTGATCTTGTTTCTTTCCATCTTGCCAAATTTATGTACAAATTCCATAACAACTTATTACCGGTGGCCTTTGGTCAGTTTTATATTCCGGTCCATGAGGCTTCTAATTATAGTACAAGACTTGCCGTTAAACAATCATACTATTTACCAAAAACTAAAACCAATTATGGTATCTTTAATATAAGATTCCAAGGTGTTAAAATCTGGAATTCTCTAGACGAGAATGTCAAATCTCTCTCTCTCTTGCAATTCAAAAAGAGAATAAAAATTGAAATGATCCAGAAATATTGAGAATTGTAACAAGAATTAACTTTATTATTTGATGTAAATATGAACATTGTAATGAGGGTATTTTGCGTGCAGCTCTCTCCAACGTATATATCCTACTGGAGACAGCTGTTCTGTGAGCTAGTTTTATATTTATATTTTCCCCAGTCCTTATTGGCTGCACCCTCTTTCTAGCCCTTATGGTTATTTTGTGCAGCCAGTGCTCTAACTTATATATACAACATATGTAAACAACTAATTTTCTTTCCTTCTTGTGAGTACGAATAAAACATTATTATTATCATCATCACCATTATCATCATTATACTACCATCATCATCACCATTATCATCATTATACTACCATCATCATCACCATTATCATCATTACTACCATCATCAAATATTTTTGTTTAGATTCAATAATCAATCAAGTTATTTATCAATTCATTTTTAACCCATTCTTACCGAGCTTCAAACATGCAATCGTTCTGTCGATACAACTTATGGTTGATAATCTGGTAATGTGTTCCTCGCGTTCCTTTCTTGGCTTTATCAAAGTCCGATTTAGTAATTCCACCTTTATCTTTCCAAAGCTTCAGGTCGTTATCAATCACTTTCTTGTAACAACCACTGTTTACATTAGAACAATCCTCATATGCAGACACACTCTCATTGATTTTATTCAAATAAGCCTTCCATGAATCTTAAAATATTCAGTATGTACATGTATTAGCAAAGGTTGAACCCAATAACATTGCACAATCTACCCATGACAGTGTCTGGTGTTACCCACATTGAAATAAAATATATTGCATATTTTATTTCAATGATAGAAAATGCTGATAACAACATTAAAAGAGGACTACCAATATTAACGTCTGCCAGGTGTGAGATAAAATTTATTTTCATAAATGGAAATGGGACAAAAGGAAGGAAAATGACAAGATTTAGGATTTACGAAATTGATAAACATTGGATGAGAAAACACATTGTGAAACATGTAGGATGGCAATAAAAAAATAAAACATAAGCGAGCCCTCACATTATGCCAAAATACAATATCAATGTCTCTGCAATGGGCTATTCCATTTAATATCCGTACCCCCCCCTGTCGAGGATACATATTTTTCATTGTCATACCCCTGAAGAATTCCAAGCTCAAAACTGTTTACCCCTGAAGAATTCCAAAATTCCAAGCTCAAAACTCTTTACCCCTGAAGAATTCCAAGCTCAAAACCTTTTACCCCTGAAGAATTCCAAAATTCCAAGCTCAAAACCTTTTACCCCTGAAGAATTCCAAGCTCAAAACCCTTCACCCCTAAAGAATTCCAAGCTCAAAATCCTTTACCCCTGAAGAATTTCAAGCTCAAAACCTTTTACCCCTGAAGAATTCCAAGCTCAAAACCCTTCACCCCTGAAGAATTCCAAGCTCTGAAAAATTTCAATCTCAAACCTCTTTCCCCCTGAAGAATTCCAAGCTCAAAACCCTTTACCCCTGAAGAATTCCAAGCTCAAAACCATTTACCCCTGAAGAATTCCAAACTCAAAACACTTTACCCCTGAAGAATTCCAAGCTCAAAACACTTTACCCCTGAAGAATTCCAGGGATCCTCGACAGGGGGGGTACGGATATTAAATGGAATAGCCCAATTACTGTATATACTGTTTAATAATTGAATATTTTAAATACCTCGCATTTTATATTTATAAGATGGGTCATGTTTATCCTTTTCATGGTCAACACCAAATTCCTGGTCCAACGAAGCATAAATTGACAAAATACTGCTGAAGAATAGCAGCAGAATTGTCGCCATTACCTTCATAATTGCTACTGTATTTCCGACTGGTATTGTTGCAAATTAATTTATGCAAACAAAACAAACGTGTCGAGCAAACAACGTGCAAATTTTGAGCCCTGATTTTCATAACAAAACTAGCCAAGAAAAGCCGTAAAATTATACATTTTTTTCATAGAAAATCTATATTTTTCTTTCAGGGATATTTCATGCATATTCCGCGAAACGTCTTGAAGAATTTTACTATTTCTTTCTCAGAAATTTCTTACTGTAAAAAATTTTTTTAGAGGCAAACACGTGTACTTGTTTCCACTTAGGAAAATTACTGTAAAGTCATCTGCATAAAACTGTCTGTATTTACTATTTACCAGTAAAAAATAGACTAGAGTTCGCTCTAGGGTTTTAAAAATATGTTTTCCCATTTCTATGTATTTTTTTGGAGGAATTTACTTAGTACAAGACTACAAAAGGACGTACGTGTTTTAACCAAAATTCCCAATTCGGTTTTCCTTTCATAGAAAGGAAATTACAAGTGTGAAAAACTTCATGTTATGCCAATCAAACAAAAAAATTGTTTTCATCGGATAAAATACAAAATAAATCTTGCACTGCCTTGAAATTGTTCCCAAATATTATTATACTTTTATGTAAATTTTCAAGTTAGCTTGTATAGTACGAATTCGCACATGTTTGTCTTGCAACAATGCAATTATATATGCATTTAGAATTCTTTAGAACCCCCCTGTAATGACCCTTTACACTGTTGAAAACAGGGGGGAGTGTTGATCTAAACACACGCTGCCTGCTCTTATATACAAAATGTAATCGAAACGTAAACACAAAGGCAAAATGTGAAAATTTTAAACGTCCGTGGCCAAACGTTGAGGATTTTGTCCCAAAGCTATAAGAATGACATCCATGGAGTATTTTAAAACCGAAATTGAACGGTTAAATAAAGAATTACAACAGACAAGTTGCGATAAAATAAGAGCGGCTGAGTATGGCTTGGCTGTCTTGGAGGAGAAACAGACTCTTCAGGAACAATATGATGAATTGGAAACTGTTTTTGAAAATACAAAACAAGAACTTGAAAACTCAAAAGAGGTGAGAATAATGACTGGTATTTTATAGCATATTTATAGAGTTTTTGGGACAATATTTACAGCCAAAGTAGGCTGTCCATTTATATGAAAATATTGCTCTAACATGTTCAATTTCTTTACATTAAAATAAAAATACCTTGCTTTTTGCTTTATATTATGCCTTATAAAACTTTTCGTGTGTTTATTGTTATCAAGGGAAATATGGCAATGACTTTTGGGGTTAGAATATTTTTAGCTTCTATAGTTTATACTTTGTACCAGTTATTTTTCATGTCAACATGTAGTAGCCATCAATACTAGCGATGATAAATAATTTGAAATCCATTTATAATGAGCGTGTTTTGAATAGCTTAATTTCCTTCAAAACGCCGCACTAAGGTGATTTAGAGTTACTGGTTTGTTTGTGTGATTTAAAACTTGGTTTGGGGTCTAAAGATAATGGCAATGAATTGATGATTACGGATGTATGTTTGTATGAGGTAAAGATCAATGATTTGACAAAATCTCTTTTGAATGGCTAAAAACATGTGTTGAAATGTAATACATTAATTAATGTGTAAACAGTTGGAGATCGTTGTAATGGATTTCAGAGCCGTCATGAGGGGAATTTGATGCTTTATATCTAGTATGGATGTATCAAATTTATCCTATTAATGCTATTATATTCCAATAGTTCTAGAATGGAATTGAAATATTGTACCATTGAAAGAATATTTAAATTAGAAGTTCAAAACTTTTGCAACATTTTCCAGTTCAAAATTCACAGAAATATTTGATTCCAGAAAATTTAATTCCTTGTAATACCAGATAACACATTTTTTATCAGTAGTAGCCTGAATATAGCATTTAAAGTAAATTAATTGTGTAAACGTTCTCTGGTTAAAAAAGATTTATTTATTAACAAGCTTTCGACTGCCAGTCTGCAGTCTTCGACGGGTAGATTTATAATGTGTATTATTATTACATTATAAATCTACCCGTCGAAGACTGCAGACTGGCAGTCGAAAGCTTGTTAATAAATAAATCTTTTTTAACCAGAGAACGTTTACACAATTAATTATGAATCCTGGTTTCGCTTCCAACATTTTTAAAAGCATTTAAAGTGTTCACAAATATATTCTCATTGAACTCCTTTGTCAAATTAGCCCCTGTCCCCTTCTATTATAAGTGAAAGCTATATTTTGGTTGGACACCAATATGGTTGGGTCTGACAAACAATAAACCTCAGTTTCACTTAGTTCCACTAACTTTTGCCTAAAATGTTCTGAACCCAGAAGGCTTATTGTAGTTATTGCACTCTATTTGACACCTTATGATGTACTTCTATATTTTTAGACAGAAGGTGTTCACATTAACAAGTTAACTTGCATCTCTCTTGTAGGCATTAGAGCAACTTAAATCTGAGCAATCAAAACGCAATCGCTTCGGTGATGTACGTGAAGAAAGCTTGGTGCAGGAAAGCGAAACAAGGGAAGCTGGACTTCTGGCAAAGATTGTAGATCTTGAATCTGACCTGAAAATTTCAAAGAAAGGAGAACGTCGGGCTGTGAGTGAGGTTGATAGACTCTCAGCTCAAAATGGCGGTCTCCTTAAGGAAGTTGAAAAACAACATGAAGATTTGAAGAAGGTGAAAGAAATTCTGTTAATTAACCTGTTCATTGTTTCACATCTCTCTATAATTAATCCATTAAGCACCAGCGCTCTTCTCTTGATGAGTAAAATCATCTGGCATTAGACAGAGTAAAGTAACAAAGTAGGGCGCAATGCAATTCAATGGGTTAATATGAACAGTATGAAATAGTCACTTCTCTAATAAGAGACAGGACAAAGTGTCTGTCTTAGAGAAGTGAGTATGGGGCCATTCACAAAGGATGTCCGGCCAAATGATGGATTTTCAGACCCCCTCCCCCTCTTGTCCGGCATTGTCCGAATTAGTGACCCTCCCCCCGGACATCCGCCATGCCTCGCAAAAAACTCATGCAACCTTGTATATATCAAGAGTAAAAAACTTTTTTTACTTTTAGAACTTTTTATAACTTTAAATGTGAACACAAAAACATATAAATTACTAATTAAAACAAAATCGAGTGTTAACCGCATAGTCAAAATGCCAATTTCACAATGGGAAGGACTGCTCAAAATAGAGGGAAAAAAGAAATTTGTTTTTGAATTTTTTTAAATTTCGGACATCCGGATTGCTAAAAAAACCCCCTCCCCCTATGTCCGAGTTTGTCCTGATTTTCCAACCCCCCCCCCTTGGCTCGGACATCCTTTGTGAATGGCCCCTATTTAGTTTTTAGTTCTTGCTGATGTCATATTTTAACTCCACTGAAATATCTTGCAATCATTTCGCTGCAATTTTCTTCTTCTGATGGTGTGAATGTGTGGATGAGTTATGAAAGTTCAGACCAGGGTACATATACTCAGAACATTCATAATTCATCTACTTGTTCAGCCGCATCAGAAGCCAAAAATCACACTAGACATCACACCAAAAATTGCAAGTGTAAACAGGCCATAAGTGAGCAGTAAGGCATGTTTAACACACCCTACTCTATTATTTTACTCTGTCAAATACAGTACCATATGATTTTACTCATCAAGAGGAGAGTGCTAGTGTCCAATGGGCTAATTAACCCATTAAGTGCCAGCGTTCTCCCCTTGACGAGTAAAATCGTCTGGTGTTAGACAGAGTAAAATACTAAAGTAGGGTGCATCAGGGTGCAATGCGACTCGATGGGTTAATGAACTTGCTTGCACCCTACCTTATTTTTTACTCTGTCCAATGCCATATTATTTTACTTGTCAAGAGGAGAGCACTGTCCTGTAGGGAGGGGTTGACTAGAGATGTCCACAAGTAGAGGTGTATTTATCTATTTATGTATTTAATATTAAGGTCAAAGGAGACTTGCGCGAGTTAAAGACCCGTAATGCAAGACATAATCAAGACTATTCTGAACTGGAAGAAGAGAACACCAGCCTGCAGTCGCAATTATCTGGCTTGAAATCAAAACTGGTCGAGTATGAAGCTTTGAAAGTCGAGAATAACACATTGCGAGAAGAGATGGATGTGATGAAAGTACAGCTACAGATGTCTACAGGGAAAGCAGAAGAGCATGAAAAACAGTTTAATGAGACTTTGGATACCTTAAAAGAACAACGCGAACGCAACAGTCAATTACAGAAAGAATTACAAGAACGGAACCAACAACCGTGTGCTGAAACTTGGGACATGGAGAGCAAGGGCCTTTTGAATGAAGATATGTCAGATGACGAACACCCATTGGTTAAACAGATCACAGAGGAGTACCATCAGGCTACTGTGGAACCGAAGTCTCCCGCACCCGGACTGGTGGATGATTTGATGAAGGAACTACAGTTCTCGGAACTACGAGACCTAGAAGACCAAATGGCGCAGTTGAATTCCGAGAAAGCTGCGCTTACAAACGCGCTTGCGCAACGTAATAAGGAGGTGCTGAAACTCAAAGAAGAGTTCAGTGCATTCTCGACTATTCAAGATTCTCAGAAACTTCGTAAGGAAATCCAAGGTGGGAATGCAGCCCCTGCTTCGAACGATGTTTTTGTTCTAAATAATCAAATTAAAGAACTCGAGGAACTTAAAAAGATTGTTAAGAACTACCATCATAAGGAATCTAAGGCTCAGATGGTTATTAAAAACATGCATGTCGAACTAGACGAAGTACGTGGTAAAAATGCGTCCTTACAAGGCAAGGCCGAAGAGGCGGACTTCTTGTGTAATAGAGTGAAAGAATTGGAAGAAAAGATTTTGAATTTGAAAACTAAGGAAGAAGAATCGGATCAGACTATCAGAACACTTCGAGAAGATGTTCAATCTATGACGTCACTTGCGGGCGAGGCTAAAGGGAGCCTAACCTGCACACAGGATGAGTTGAAGTTGGTTAGTGAAGATTTAGCAAAGTTGTATCAACAGGTGTGTATGGCAAACGGCGATACCCCGAACCAGCTTGTGTTGGAACACCTTAAGACGCTTTCACCTCGATACAAATCAACTAAACCAATCAATGGCTCTCCGATTATGAACGGAGACATCCGAAATATGTCCGACGACGAAAAAACTGTCACCGTCAAAAATGGCGACGACCGAAAAGACGACGAACACCCCGAGGAGCCGGGTGATCCGCTGGCCTGTTACAAACTTATCACCGCCGTCCGCGATCAGGTCCGTTTCCTAAGAAAAGCTGTCGAGAAGACCGTGGATATCTCGCGCGAACGTCGCGAGGAGCCCACGCGTCCCGCGGGAAGCGAACACGAAGTAGATGACCTCACACCCGCGGACGGGGGGTCACTTCAAGACCAAGTCTTAAAGCTCCAACGGCTTGCTGCGACAAAACGGGAACAAATTACAACCCTGCGTACTGTACTCAAAGCAAATAAATCCACATACGAAGTAGCTTTAGCGAACTTGAAAAGTCGTTACGAAAGCGATAAAGCACTTCAAAACGAGGTCATCACGAAGCTTAAACGCAATTTGAAATCGATGCAAGCCGAATCGGCGACATTTCAGTCGCTACGCAGCATGTTCGCGCAGAGATGCGAGGATTATGTAGCGCAAGTTGACGACCTCCAGCGACGACTTACGGCCGCAGAGGATGAAAAGAAGACATTAAATCATTTACTGAGACAAGCAATTCATCAGAAAATCGCACTCACGCAAAGATTAGAAGAATTCGAGTTGGCGCGAGAAAGATTACGCGCGTACACGCGACGAAACTTTAAACAAGTGCAGTCGAAGCCGAGCACGCGTGTATAGAAACCGTACCTTGCTAGAGGGTTTTTAGTAATGGGGAACTTTAGATGTCGGTAGCTGTTAGCTAAAATTCTAGCCATGTATCAGCTGTGAGTAAGATAGTGTTTCCTCTTTTGTCATCTATCACAAAAGATCTAGACATTTTGCCAGTGAAGTATACGGAGACATGTGTGTAGTCTGGTGACTAATTTCAAACCCTTTTTGCTCTGCGTTTTATATATCTAAGAATAAGATAAATTATTATATACACTATAATATAGACTGTATAGTATATATTGCCCAAAGACAGCTTTTTAATGTTTTTATAAACATATATAGTGAAAGTATAATGCATATAGAATGAAATATACTACGACAAAACATGAAACAGGGTTGTTGTGTAATATAACATTACTACAACAGTAATAACAAGTCGTGCAAATGCTAGAAACGAAAGTTTATCAAAAGTTTAAAGTCCAAAGGTTTGAGTGTCAAATTATCAATTCCATTCAATGTCAAGTTTAAATGTTCTAATTTCCATCGGCTTCAATGTAATCTCAAAATCATCGGTCGGGACCAGAATTTTGTTTCGTCGCTTAGCTCGTTTCCATTCCACTGTATGTTGGCGCTGACTCTTCACCAGGTTTGCACTGAGGTTGAGTTCAGTGACGGCCAAGATGGTGAAATCTTGAAACAAACCTTTCAATTGAACTGTGACAGCTTTTGAAAGTTCAACATCTTCACCCACAGCAAACTGATGTTCTAGACGTAGCAACACAGACTTGTCGAAACTTTCTAATGTTAACAGATGAACATTTGCTGGTAATGACCGATTCAAGGCTTGGTAACTAGCTTGGTCATTACTACCTGCTGAGAAAGCTAGCGAAGGACGTAACATTTCTTCCTCGCCAACAGCGCGATGTAATTTTGCCGACGATTTTGCTTCTTCAACTAGAAGTAAAAGTTTCCCTCGGACAATAAGACCTCGTCCGTTAATTCCTGGTTCATTCAAGGCTTCATTAACACCTCTTCCATCATCGTGGAGTAACCTACGATGTACCATGAACTCCAAGGAACCATCTTTTATACTCGAGCCTCCTAATGAGCGGTCTGTCATTATGGTCAGTTGAACACCAGACTCATCTTTGATGTAAGCTCGACTGTTGACCGGGTAATAGTTCCCTGCAACAGGTTCTGTATCTAATGAAAAAGATATGGGAAAATGTTAGCTGTGGTGATGGGTTAACTGTCAACCCCTAAGCCAGAGGAATGGCCTGGAACGAAGAGGCTTGGTTAACCAAACCTTAACTTTTCCTTAACCTAAAATCTAACCTCAAGAGGAACGATGTTGCCTCATCCTAACTTGAACCTAACTAACCACATTATATACCAAGATCTACTCACTTTGATATGTCCATGTCGGTCGATAATTTCGTTTCCTTATCTGCATTTCTCGTCCATTGGCATCTGTGTAGAAAACACCATTCGTCTTCAAACTTGTATCAAACCTCGAAATCACTTCTTTTCCAACACGAGGGGACGGAGCTTTTTTAATTGGTCCAACAGTATATTCAAATTCAGCGTACGGTTTGTTTGAATATAATCTAACAGTCTGACTCACCCAAGGCGTAAAAACTTGATGCACTTCTTGTAAATCCTTGCTTTGAAAAATGCTTATCTTTGCCTTGTTCCCAAGACTCACGTCGCTCGGTTTATTTAATTTTGGGTCAAATATATAAGCCCCCGAACCATTAGCCTCGTACCAGTAAAATTGCTGGTCAATTGATAGCGTTATTTTGGATTTCAAATTTTCGACTTCAACCAGACGCCCAGTGTCAGTAGAAAATGTCAATCGCAGATACTGATTCTCGATAGAATAATTACTGTTTGGAGAAAGCTCTAGTTTGTTAAATCCTGACCTCTTGTGAACATTGTGACCGAAAACATCAACATCGTCGCGTTTCCTTTGTTTAAGGACAGGTGTTTTATAGCCTGACATTTTAGGAAAATTAGGACCAAATTTTACTTCATACATAGCTAGACCAAGAGGAGGAAGATCGCTAGCTGGGAAGACCAGCTCATATGGGGCGTTTCCACGCTTACCACGGACATATTTGGTGACATTGGTCACTGGTAGCACAGTATACGAAACCTGTGTACCATTTGGTCCAAGTACTCTGACCGACAGACTTGACACTGGGATTCGGATGTTGGTATCGATATTTCGAGCAATGGGGTTGTATACGGTGATAGTAAATGATTCAGTGACCTCTGAAGCAGGGCATATACTGATATTGAGGTGGTCACAGAATGTATATTGGATATTAGCGTCGACATGTTGTCGTTGACTGACTTTGTTCAGAGCGGAGTTGATCACCATCTGAAATATGGCATACAAAATATTGTTGAAAATCTAAGCATTCTGCATAATCTAATCGCGTTTTACTCACATATGAGTTCTGTATAACATCTGATCACTTTAGAGTTACACGCATTCAAGAAAAGTGCTGCATTATCTCAAACATACTTAAATAAAGCTTCATTAAGCACTAGAAAGCGGTATAATTAAGATACGTAATAATAGCTGAGATTCCCTACCTTACATTGTTGAGCTCCAATTGCCAGACGTTTGGCATAATCAAATGCAACATGTTGTTTTTCAGTGCCACTCACTGCATCATGATGTTGTGCTACACCCATGGCATCTCGTAATGTTTCTGAACTGGGATCAGACTCTCCAAGTTTGCCCAGAACTTCAAGTTGTTTACATACCTAGTATGATGGAAATTATAACGATGATGGTGAAAGTGATGGTGAGTTGGTGATTCTGTTGATGATGATGGTGATAGAGATGGTGGTTGGGATGATGGTGGTGATGATAATGATGTGGATGATGATTGTGGTGTTATAGTAATGGTGGTATAGATCACAGTGGTGATTATATGATGGAGATGATGATTATGGTGTTATTGATGATAATGGTGATTACATGATGGTGGTATTGATCATAGAGGTGATTATATGGTGATGATAGTGATGATTATGCTAATGGTAGTAGTGATGATGAAGGACAACATTTGACCACTACCTGTAGTAAATTATTATTTCTTCTCACATAGCCTTTCAGTGCAGGTCTGCTGGTGTAAAAACCCGTCCAATAACAACCAGGACAGTCTGCATAAGGAAAGAAATCGTCTGTCTTTAACTCCACCTCCATTCCTTTTACTGCATCAAGATATTTTGATGGTGTGGAGTAAAATGCATTCACCCTACCGTCCTAAACAACAAAAATCTTTGAATGGTCGGTTTGTCATTTCTATTTTTTAGGTAGTGTATCTCGCACCGCAGCTGTAACTACATTTATACAGGTTAACTTTATCAATTCTAAACTGTTCTCCCCAGAAGTCCAGTCAGGGTCGTCCATTTCTACAGCTGGGAACGTGAAGAAAACTTTATGTCTAAACTGTTCACTCTAGAGGTCCAATAAGGTTCAGTGTTAGGCTGTTAGCCGGAGAAAGTCTTCGGTTTTTGGTAGACTCAAATTGGAAAGCACTTTTCTCACATGTGACAGGGAAACGACATATCACAGGGACCAAAGGCTATCACCCCCCCCTATTTCCAAAGTGTAACCTAAGAAGGTAAATACCTTATTGACATGCGTGATTAGTTTGTCCAGGTTCTTAAACCATGGATTAGCGTTTTGATACGTAAAATCACTTCCCATGGTGAGCATAATATGACCAGACTTATAATGCGACGCTTGCTCGCATGCTTCTTTAACGAACAAGTCGACACGCTGCTTAACATTGTCGCCAAATAATCTAGGATCATCCTGAATTGGTGGATCTTTGCAAGACAAATTATCAAAACAGAACCCTTTGGGAGGGTTGTAAAAATCGTATAATACCCCAGTGAATATCTCCGAGGCCTCCCCAAGGCTCTGGCTACCACGCCATTTTAGTTCCATGCGTTTTTCGTCAGTGCGCTTTTGCATATCTTCGTAGTGAATTCGCGCAAAGAAAAACCCTTCGAAAGACATTTGCGCAAAGAGAGAAGCTTGTTCTGCCGAGTGTCCAAACGGATCTATATGCCATGCGACTCTTGGCCGAGCTTTTGAGCCAAAATTTTTATCGATGAATTGTAACCCGAGGGTCATTTGATCTATGATAGCGTTATAATGAGTTGTCGCTTCATCGTTCATGCACCATCCACCATTAATAAATTCCAATTGTCCTCTGTGGACAAGTGCTTTCACTCTGGCCTGCATAGTCGGGGTCTGTTGTTGCCACCATCTTTTAAAGAACGCAATTTCAACGTAGATAAAATGCCTCACAGGGTTTGCTTCTAATGCTGGGATCACTGAATCAAGGATGTATTGAACGCCTGCTATTTGAATGCTGTTATTAGCGCCGTAATAATATTGATCAACAGTTTTGAGCCAACCGACATCGTCATGAGTGTGCGGAACAAGATGGATTTGAAGCACTTCGTCCTGGTTGCTTGGCGACTTCGAGCACACAAAAGCGCTTGAAAGAAAGGGAAAACTAGACACGAATAACAGTAATGATACTTGTGTCATTGTGGTTTTTGTTTCGCCGTTTGGCGTAACTTCAACTCAGAATAATTAGCGCAATGATACACTAATCTTGCACTAATCCCGTTAATTACATACGCGTGTTGAATTTCTAAACTGCAGTCACATATAGTATCACAATCTACAACCAAAACCAGCCAGTTGACCTATGTTTTGCCGTTTTTTGAGGCTGGTAGTGCCACGATCTTGGACATTGAGCCCATTCTTCAAAATATTGCCAAGTTAATACTTTGACATTTTAATTAAGTAACTTACCCAAGGTTATGTCGTCCGGCATATTTCATGACCCCCTCTCGCCTAGTTCAATGTTGTGAATATTTTGGTGATTAACCTTGACAGACTAACCTGCCATAATCTCGACATTGTCCATTGAATTGGGGGCGTGTGAATTGTAGTTAGTGTTGAATAATCCAATGGTATTCATCCTCAGCATACTTGCGCAAAAAATCTCGCATCTTATCTAGTCAGCACTTGTTCGTAATAAACTTTTTAAATTTTAACACGTTGAAATAAAGTTTTTTTAGAAGATCTCACAGGTCATGTGACTCACAACTTTGCAAACAGTTGTTGAAATATTGGACGATAAGAAGTTGTTGAAATAATTTATCTCAAATTACGAACTCCTGTAGTGTAGTGTTTGTCTACAAACAGAAAGTGTTAACTGTCTTGACTTATTTCGAAACTTTATTGTCGCAAACAGTACGTCAGAAACCATTGTCCATTGCTGACTACTTGCTAGCAATGGCCCAAGTATTATTACTGTTATTCCTATCTAGTTTTCCCTTTCTTTCAAGCGCTTTTGTGTGCTCGAAGTCGCCAAGAAACCAGGACGAAGTGCTTCAAATTCACCTTGTTCCTCACACTCATGACGATGTCGGTTGGCTCAAAACTGTTGATCAATACTATTACGGCGCTAACAACAGCATTCAAATAGCAGGCGTTCAATACATCCTTGATTCAGTGATCCCAGCATTAGAAGCAAACCCTATGAGGCACTTTATCTACGTTGAAATAGCGTTCTTTAAAAGATGGTGGCAACAACAGACCCCGGCTATGCAAGCCAGAGTGAAAGCACTTGTCCACAGAGGACAATTGGAATTTATTAATGGCGGGTGGTGCATGAACGATGAAGCAGCAACTCATTATAACGCAATCATAGATCAGATGACTCTCGGCTTACAATTCATCGATAACAATTTTGGCTCAAGTGCTCGACCAAGAGTCGCATGGCATATAGATCCGTTTGGACACTCAGCAGAACAAGCATCTCTCTTCGCGCAAATGTCTTTTGAAGGCTTCTTCTTTGCGCGTATCGACTACGCAGATATGAAAAAGCGCACTGATGAACAACGCATGGAACTGAAATGGCGGGGCAGTCAAAGCCTTGGGGCCGCCACAGAAATATTCACTGGGGTACTATATAATGGGTATGGCCCCCCGTCTAGTTTTTGTTTTGATATCCTGTGCGGTGACCCTCCTATGCAAGACGACCCTCGACTGTTTGACTTCAATGTAAAACAGAGGGTGGAATTGTTTATCAACCGCTCATGTGAGCAAGCTTTGCATTACAAGTCCGGGCACATCATGCTCACCATGGGAAGTGATTTTAATTATCAAAATGCTCATACTTGGTTTAAAAATTTGGATAAACTGATTGCTTTTGTAAACAAGGTATGATTTGTATGTAAACACGTATTAATTTATAAGTGGACCTCTAGAGAGAACAGTTTAAGCATAAAATTTAATCCGCGTTTCCTGCTGTAGAAAAGGATGGCCCTTACTGGACCTCTAGGGAGAACAGTTCAGAACTGATAGAGCTAACCAGTATAAATAAAGTTAGTGTTCAATTTAGAATAATAGATATAAATGCAACATAAATTTTCTGACCAATTATGTGAAAGAATAATGTATGGTATCGGATAGCTTGCTTAAAATTTCGCAAACATTTTTCTGCTTTTTCGGAAACATATTTCTGTTGTTTAGGACGGTAGGGTGAATACATTTTACTCCACACCATCAAAATATGTCGATGCAATAAAAGGAATGGAACTCGAAGTGAAGACAGATGATTTCTTTCCTTATGCAGACTGCCCTCATTGTTATTGGACTGGTTATTTTACCAGCAGACCTGCACTGAAAGGTTATGTGAGAAGAAATAATAATTTACTACAGGTAGTGGTCCTTGTCCTTTATCATCACTGCTACCACTAGCATAATCATCACCATACAGTATAATTACCACTATCATCAATATCACCATCATGTAATCATCAATAACACCATCACCATAATCACCATCCAATCATAATCACCACTATGATTAATACCACCATCACCATTACTATCACACCACCACCATCATCACATCATTATCATCACCATAATCATTACCAGCACCACCAATCATCACATCATTATCATCACCACCATCATCACATCATTACCATCACCACCATCATCACATCATTATCATCACCATCATCCACAACCCATCTTTATCATCAACATCAACACAACTACATTCATCAACAGAATCACCAACCTCACTATCACCATCATCGGTATAATTTCCATCATACTAGGTATGTAAACAACTTGAAGTTCTGGGCAAACTTGGAGAGTCTGATCCCAGTTCAGAAACATTACGAGATGCCATGGGTGTAGCACAACATCATGATGCAGTGAGTGGCACTGAAAAACAACATGTTGCATATGATTATGCCAAACGTCTGGCAATTGGAGCTCAACAATGTAAGGTAGGGAATCTCAGCTATTATTACGGATCTTAAATCTTAATTATACCGCTTTCTGGTGCTTAGTGAAGCTTTAATTAAGTATGGTTATAATTACCTCCGCCAGGAGGTTATGTAATCATCTGGGTTTGTATGTGTGTGTGTGTGTGTGTATGTGTGTGTGTATGTGTGTGTGTGTGTGTGTGTGTTTGTCTGTGAGCACGATAACTCAAGAAATACCAAACATATCCGTACGAAATTTTGTGAGTGCATTTCCCATCGGCTACGGAAGAACTGATTAAAATTTGGTTGAATTTGGTTAAAAATTAAATGAGAAATAACAAAAGTTTGTCTTGCTTTTCCCGGTCAATTAAATAAAACTTTATACTGAATGCGTAATTAGGACGTGCATAATATATGCACCAGCCACTCAAATTCTAATAACAATAGATTACTTCAATATTTTGCGCGTAGGCGGAGGTATGCAGTCTCTGAGTGCCCTCTAGTTTAATAATGAGATAATGCAGTAATTTTCTTGAATCTGTGTAACCCTAAAGTGATCGGATGTTGTACAGAACTCATGTGAGTAAAGTATGGTTAGATTATGCAAAATGCTTAGATTTACAACCATATGTTGTATGCCACATTTCAGATGGTGATAAACTCCGCTCTGAACAAAGTCGGTCAACGACGTCAGTATTTCGGTACCAACATTCAATACACATTCTGCGACTATCTCAACATCAGTGCATGTCCAGCGACAGAAACCACGAAATCATTTACTATCACCGTGTACAACCCTATTGCTCGACCTGTAGATACCAATATCCGAATCCCAGTGTCAAGTCAAGAAGTCAAAATTATTGGCCCGGATGGGAAACCAGTTCCCGTTGTGATTGAACCGGTGTCGAAAGAGACCAAATTTGTCCGCGGTAGCCTTGGGAACGCACCTTACGAGTTAACGTTCCCATTAACAGGCTTACCGCCTTTGGGTGTTGCTATATACACAGGGAATACAACAGCGAACTCCGGAAAACATACTTCTAAAGTGGCGTCGAAATTTGCTTCTAAACTCCTAAGGAAATCTGACTTTACAAACAGCGATTATCACGATGGAGATTATGTTATTTCAAACAAGCATCTTCGTCTGACATTCGACCATGATTCAGGACGCTTGACTAAAATTGAGAACCTCGCATCCAACATAAGCCTACCAGTTGACCAGCAGTTCTTGTGGTATAATGCTAGTGTTGGAAACAAGGACAGCAAGCAAGCTTCAGGGGCCTATATCTTCAGGCCAAATTCAAGTAAACCGTTTAACGTAAGCCTAAATAACAAGGTAAGCAGTATTAGCATCGTTCAAAACGAAGTCATGCAAGAGATTCATCAAGTATTTACTCCTTGGGTGAGTCAAACCGTTAGGTTATATGCTAACAAACCGTACGCAGAATTTGAATATACTGTTGGGCCAATCAAAATGGCTCCTTCGCCTGAACTTGGAAAAGAAGTGATTTCGAGGTTTGATACAAGTTTGAAGACGAATGGTGTTTTCTACACAGACGCCAACGGACGAGAAATGCAGACGAGGAAACGAAATTATCGACCGACATGGACATATCAAAGTGAGTAGATCTTGGTATATAATGTGATTAGTTAGGTTCAAGTTAGGATGAGGCAACCTCGTTCCTAGGCTCCTCTTGAGGTTAGATTTTAATCATTTTATGTTGTGGTTAAGTTGAGGAAAAGTTAAAGGTAATTAGGGTTAACCAAGCCTCTTCGTTCCAGGCCATCCCTCTGGCTTAGGGGTTGACAGTTAACCCATCACCACAGCTAACATTTTCCCATATCTTTTTCATTAGATACAGAACCTGTTGCAGGGAATTATTACCCGGTCAACAGTCGAGCTTACATCAAAGATGAGTCTGGTGTTCAACTGACCATAATGACAGACCGCTCATTAGGAGGCTCGAGTATAAAAGATGGTTCCTTGGAGTTCATGGTACATCGTAGGTTACTCCACGATGATAAAAGAGGTGTTAATGAAGCATTGAATGAACCAGGAATTAACGGACGAGGTCTTATTGTCCGAGGGAAACTTTTACTTCTACTTGAAGCAGCAAAATCCTCGGCAAAATTACATCGCGCTGTTGGCGAGGAAGAAATGTTACGTCCTTCGCTAGCTTTCTCAGCAGGCAGTGGTAACCAAGCTAGTTACCAAGCCTTGACTCGGTCATTACCAGCGAATGTTCATCTGTTAACATTAGAACGTTTCGGCAAGTCTGTGTTGTTACGTCTAGAACATCAGTTTGCTGTGGGTGAAGATGTTGAACTTTCAAAAGCTGTCACAGTTCAATTGAAAGGTTTGTTTCAAGATTTCACCATCTTGGCCGTCACCGAACTCAACCTCAGTGCAAACCTGGTGAAGAGTCAGCGCCAACATACAGTGGACTGGAAACGAGCTAAGCGACGAAACAAAATTCTGGTCCCGACCGATGATTTTGAGATTACATTGAAGCCGATGGAAATTAGAACATTTAAACTTGAAATCCAATGACATTCATGAGGTAAACTTAAGTATGCCAATTATTAATAAAACTTGACTATATAGCTTGACATTTAGACTAGAATTTAGGGGAATTTATAAAACGCTAAGTGGGAAACATGTACAGTGTTTCAGTTTGAAAAGGTTTTTCAGAATTGACACTACATTATTCAATTGGCTGATATGAGTAAGAAAGACAATCGGCAAATTAAAACAATGAAACAATATCATAGGATTATCCTGGAAGTAATATAGAATAATATACTGTACTAGTAGTTTAAGGTTGTAAGTTTAATTATGTATGGCGCTATCAAGATATTTGACCTCCGAATGCTTCCAGTAAAACAAACAAACAAGCTAGTAAAGTCGCACACACACAGCAAAAGAGCACACACAACATCACATTCTGTTTCACTTATCTTATAATTCGTGCAACTAGATATTTTTCGGTATCAATGTATCGTCCTATTATGTACAATATCAAAAATGCTGTTTTCACTTCGCACTTGAGTTCGGGGGCGCTCCAAATAAAGTCTGACTTTATCGAACACGTATGATGGCCAGTACGGGTCTTCTTCACTGGGCTTCCAACATTTATCAAATCGTGAATCAATGTGCCTATAAGGACGATAAAATGATTTGGATATTTTCTGTTTGTGGAAAACTTTATGATTATTTATCTGGTAAAAGAGGGAATTCAGTTTGAGTCTACCAATTAAACACCGTAGGTTTTCTCCAGATATACTCATGTTTCCTCCTGTAGTAAAACTGGACCACTAAAGAATGACTCTTATATACACTGAACTTTTAGGAAGACAAATTTAAAACTGATAGAGCTGTACAGCATGAATAAAGTTTTAAGATTTCTTCCTGTAGTAACACTGGATCGACGCGGAGTCACTCTTACTCATGGATTTCTAGGAACAAAAGATTACTGGAAGTTATAGAATAATTCAATATAAAAGAGTTTGTCAAGTTTCCTCCTGTAGAACAATAAGGGATGATTCTTACTGGACCTCTACAGTAACGAACAATTTATTCATTGTTCTTTACTGTAGAGGTCCAGTAAGGATCATCCCTTATTGTTCTACAGGAGGAAACTTGACAAACTCACAGGAGGAAACTTGACAAACAGTTTATTAACTGACAGAGCTACATTCAGAATAAAGCTGTAAAAAACCATGCATTACCTGGTCAAATTACAATACTCTTCGTACGTCATCCAGCAGTCGGCTTTTCGTGAAATATTCGCTGGACCTGACGATAAATTCATTCTCTCGATCTTCGGTGTAACTGACGCGGCTGGAGGATAGACTTGGTACGAGTAGAAACTGATTTTCCGTTTGCTTTTGGAAAACCGTTTTTTGCCACTGTCCGCGTTATTTGGTATCAGCCTGCGGTACAAATCTTCCTCAGACATAAGGTATCTACTGGGAGGTTTTAACGACGAGATGCACGTGTCAAAATTTCTATCTTCTGGATGTAGCAAAACTAGCAATGGAAATATAGGAAAACAAACTCAGGCCCGTTACTATAGCTATGAGTCGACCGAGTCAGTTGACTCGGTAAGATTTTTTTGTGAAAAAAAAATTCAAAACAGGAAGACTTCAAGTTTAAAGAAAACAGATCCTGGATGAAATTTACACAAACACGGAATAGCGTTTCTAAGCCTTATAGAAAATCAAACATTTTCTTGGGGAGCATGCCCCGACGACTCCACTCGGTAAATCTAAAATCCTATAGTTACGTTCCTGCAAACTAGCCGTAACGACTGATTGAGGTACAGTCTAAATCTTATCTTACTGAATACTATATAATGCCATTGAGCCTACTTCATTAACCCATTGAGCACCAACTACGCCCCCTTAATGATTAAATCTTCTTGTCCAACACAAGAAGATTTAATCATTAAGGGGGCGTAGTTGGTGCTCAATGGGTTTATAAATGACTGACAAATCAGAACAATCAACAGATATAATTCCATGAACTAATCTTACCTCTTTCCAAGAGATTCTTAGACAACGGCACGCCATGTAAATGACATAGTTCTAAGATTCGTTCATATTCGTGTTGTTTCTGTCTCTGAAATGTATCAACAAGCATTCCAGTTACCCCACCCATGGTACAACATTCACGTTCGATCTTCTCCGACGATTTTGTCTTTTGTCGATGCTTTTCCCTTTTCCTTTGCCGCTTTAAACGTTTTTCATTGTCCTAGAAATGACAGAATGAAGCTGAGGTTATCTAACTTGATAAACAGTTATTTTGTATATACCATATATAGTTAATAGGATAAAAATGTTTATTTTATCCTATTATCGATGGTGCTATATTATAAGGCCTTGTCGCACTATTGCGTATGAGAGAAACGTGTGAGAAGCGTATGAAAATTAATGAAATAATTTCCATACGCACTGAAAATCTTTTGAAATGCCAGCGTACATCTGGCGTACCTCTAGCGTATTCAGCGTGTGCCTAGAGTATGCTTATCGTATAAATCATACGTCCGAATACGCAAAAAATTTTTGAGCATGCTTAAAAAAAACCCTGCCTTGCCGTATGCCAGCGTATGCGACCGTGCTTGAAACGTATACAACCTACTGTATGCCTAACGTACCGTCGTACCCCTAGCGTATACAACCTATGCCTAACGTACCTCTAGCGTATACAACCTATGCCTAACGTACCTCTAGCGTATACAACCTATGCCTAACGTAGCGTATGTCGGCGTATACCGGCGTATGAGTGATATTTTTCAAATGCTGGCATACGCCAGTACGATATGCAATGGTGTGACAGGGCCTTAAAAGTCTTTCCGTTTTGCTATGTTTAATAAATAAGTCTATTGGTTGGTCTGTAAAGAAGTCAACGCGAGTTTTGTTGGTCAGATCATAGACCAGTCAGTTAATCCAGTCGTTAGTCTGTAGGTTGACAGGTCCTTAAGTGAGTTAGTTTTCAGTCTAACCTGTTCTCCGGCAGTAAAAATATGATCGCTACTAATTGACACCTCGGGCAAGCTAAGAAGAGACTGGGATGACAGTTGTGCTGGTATCTGACCGGTATTCAAACCATCTCCATCTTGCAACTTTCCTGATGAGTCTGAGGGGTGTGCGCCTGCCTCATCTTCCTCCGAATGCTTTTTTGTGCTGCAAAAATATTAAGTAAAGGTAAATTAAATTTTGTAGGTACAAGCAGATACTAGATTTAACATGAAAAAAAAAATTACAGTTTACAAAATAGTACGTCGTTTTGAAGAATAACTAGGCTATAAAGTAGTCTACTATGTTGATGAAAAATAACTTTTTTTGAAAGCTCAGAGTGGAGGAAGGAGAGCAGAATTGATATTTCCAGTGCTAAGCAAATAAACCTTGTGGCACCCACTCAGGTGCTCAATGTGGTAATTCATAGTCCAACCCATAAAAAATCAAGTCATAAAATGATAAAAATAACATCATGATTAACAAATAGATTACTGTATGAGTTTGAGATTTCTATGGGAAATTGAGAGTGAGTAATTTTATTGTTTTAGTAGAGTCAGAGTACACAATCAAGTTCATCCTCAGAAAAACGTGAGCCGGAAACCATTTAAAAAAAAATGGGCCAGGAAAATGATTGTTTTGCTACTCAATCACTATCTATCAAGGAATAGATCCTGAGTAGAGTAGCCAATCAAATTACAGCATTTGCAACAGTATAACTACCGTACCGTTCATTACGTATAAACAAATTCCTGCCATGAGCCAGCTCTTTATAATCAAGCACATCATCGTTATTTTCATCAAGCGCCTGAACAAACTGATCAATTTCTGCATCTTTTAGAGGAATACCAGTCCTCTTCATTACGTTTTTAAATTCGTCTCGAGTGATTTTCCAGTCCTTGTCTCGATCTGCTTGCACAAACAGATCGTAAAATCGAAGCCTTTTCTTCGCCAGGTACTCATTAATGGTTGCCAAGGCAACTGGCAATGGCTGCTTGATCACAGGCGTGTACTTGGAGTCACAATTACTAAATATGGCTTGACCATCACTGCTTTTTTTCTGAAATTAAGTATATAGTTAGTTTTTAATGTCATAGCTTGCACTGCCACTCAATTGTGTTAATAAAAGTTAATTACTTAAAAGGTCTTGATCAATACATTACCCTGTTCTTCATTTTGTTCACAGAGGTCTTGGTGGATACTTTGTTCTGTGAGTCTTGGACACGTTGCTCAATTTCCGTCAAACTTGGCTTGCTCTGCAGCCAATCAGAAACCATTCCACACTGGTTTAAATCTTTGCGTAGTTGCTTCCTTTCTTTCACCCAAGCCTTGTAGCTGTTAAACTCTCTAGAAATTCTTTCACTTTCTAAAAATAGTTAGTAAAAACCAATTAACCTATTAAGCATCAGCATTCTTCCCGTGACGAGTAACATATGATGAGTAAAATTGTCTGACATCAGACAGAATAAAATGATAGAGTATAGGTCAAAGATCCTTGGGTTGACCTACCATTTGAGTGACCAGAATCTGCTATTTGTTTCTCTCTTCCCGAAGCTCTTTGTGTGGTCACAGTTGGCAAGCTAGCAAAGTCTCCACCTCTTCCATCAGTCTTTTCCATACTTGGGGCTATTATAACACGTTTTCTCGGACCTATGACATTATCTCGCAATCCCAACACCGCGTCACGGTATGCCTTTGTCTTTTCCAGTTGTTTTAACCTTAACTCCATCATAAGTTAAACTGTCTGTGGTTTAAACCCTGTCAACCCAGTATAATGGGAAAAATCTACCCTCAACTTTCAATAATAAGAAGCAAAATTAAACCTCAATGAAAACGTTTAATTGAACGGTTTAACACCTCAAAAGCTTTGCAAACTTTAGACAAGTAAGTGATTTCTTCGATTCAAGTGAAAACAACTTCATATATACCACGAACGAGGAGCAATTTCGTTTAGAAGAGCTAACAAAAAAATCTCACTCCTCTGTGTACCGCCATATTGTTTTTTTGTTAAAACACTGCCATGGCAACGTGAATATTATCACTATTTACCATCCATCTAAAGTACACAGTTTTTTTAGATGAAAAGCACTATAACTTATGCTTATTTTTTTATTTTTTCCCTGTGTACAAGAATATATAACCAAACCATAATAATACAAGTGACAGTGCTAGAGACCTACCTTACTAAAAACCAGGCTTTTTATTTAGGCCGGTATAATTTAATAATTAATACAGCCAAATGAGAAAAAGGAAATAAATGTTTTAGAGTACAGTATATGATATTTTAATACAGCTGTGCAGAATTAATACAATTATAATTTAATGTATAAAGATAAAAATGTTAGTAATTTTTTTTGGTAAAAGTATTCTTGAGTGATGTTATTTAGAACACAAACCATTGTTCAGGTTGTAACACCTGATTCTTTTATATCGGGCCTGTTTCCACTCAGGCAATTTCATTTTATTCATTTATTGAATTTGCTCTTTCATTCATTTCACTATTAAAGTTTATAGAAAGAAGATAAATAATAAAATATTGAAGAAATATGGCTGTACGAACGTATCAACAAGAATGCTCGTATATAGAAAGACTTTCAAGCAACAGCTACAGAATCAAGAAAGGCTTCGTTAATAATATGAAGGTAGAATTCATTGAGTAATAGAACTGCGCAATGGTGCAATACAAAGCTTCATTAATTAACCTGTATTATTTATTAACGAATTAGCCAATTAAACATGATTATTATAGCTAATTTACTAATTAAGTGTTTTAGTGCTCTGTATCTCGCCAAAAATAAGTGAATAAATATGGATGGAAAGAACAATAAGTTCTTTATACATCTATTGAATAAATCATCATGGAAATCTGATCAATTGAGGCCTATTAATTATTTACCATTGTGGAAGTGTCTATTCAGCCGGCTATTTTGTAAACTG